TTGTATTGTTAGCTACATGAAACTATATACATATTTTTAGTTTTTGGTGTATGTATGTGTTTTTATATAAAATGATAATACATCAGGTATTTCAAAAAATTTTCTACTTTTGAAACTTTGAAATGTTACTCTTGAAACAGTGTGTATTAATCATAATTTGGTGCAATTTTATTTCGGTTTCTGACCAATGCAAATATTCCTTTTTTCAAACTTTCTGATTTAATTATTTTATTGTAAGAAGCGTATGGAAAAAACTTAATAAAATCAATTATACAAAATCATAACAGCGTATAAATGCTATAAATCACGTCTATTTGACAAAAAAAATAAACAATTCATCATATTCAATAGAAAACAAAAATTAAAGATTAATGGCTTCGAAGCTCAAAGTAATTTTTCCGTATGATGAAACAATAAATGCACTCTCGTAACCAACAATGAAAAAATTGGCACTTTTCAATTTGAAATATTTTGAAGTTGTGATTTCCAATCGATTCCAATGGTGTAAAAAAAAATAATACAAGTTTTGCAGCAAATACGAGATTTTATTCAAATATTTTACAAAATATTTACTCATACATAAATCAATGTACAAAGTCTTTTTAAAGAAAGAACTAATTTGGTAGTATACATGTACATATCTTTGTGCGTAATTGTGACTGTGTGGTGTGTGTGTGTGTGGCGTTTGTATGTGTGACAGGTTACATCATATCATATCAAAGCCATGGAATTCTGGACATCTGAATAAAAATCTGCCTTGTATGCGTGTAAGAGCGCTGCGCAGCAATGCGGCCACGAAACTTATCTATTACTTATCTAAATCTAAAATTTATTTTCCGACGCCCAGCATCAATCTGATTTATCGTTTGATTTACTATTGAAGTGTTTGTGTAATTTTTAAGTTTTTAATTCAAGTTTTTCTATTAACTGAATTACTGTTAAAATGGTTAATGAATATTTAGCAATCGGATGCAAAAGTGGATATGCCTCGATCGAATGCAGTAACAAATCAAGAAAACAAGTTTCTTTTCATGGAATCCTTTTGAATAATCTTGATTTATTGTTAAAATGGATTTGAACAAATTCTCAAAAAAATGTACACCAACCAAATATTCAAAAATTTGTTCTCTCCATTTTCTACCAACCGATTTTATTGATAAATTCAATGAATCTTATAAGCGACAATTTGCGAAATCAAAATCTTCAGGTTATTCTGACATTAAGAAACAAAAAAGATGGTTAAAAGTTAGGCAGTTTCATCTACAACAACACCGACAACCCTCAGATTTGCAACAAAATACTTATCTGCAAACTTGAAAAATTACTTAGTTGATTATTGAAGGAAAGCACACTTTCCTCAGGTTTAGATTACAGCCAGATAAACATTTCCTTTTTAATTTATAAATTGGGGGTAAAAAATAATTGTTCCAAAGTTGTTGAATCAATGTTTGTTATTGATAAACTTGCATGAGTTAATGGAACGAATGAATGGATAAATTAATAATAATTAATTAATTAATGGATGGATGAAAGCTTGAATGAATGAATGGGGGGATGGATAGATGGATGAATTTTTTTGCGTGGTACTATATGTGTTGAGGCTAATGTTAACGATGCAAACTTTTATCATTTTTCTTCATTTTTCTCATTTTTTTTTGAAAAATGTTGTAAGTTTTTTCGTGTCTCAACTTTCATATTAGACACGTCAGAGACGGGCTTTCATCAAATATTCATCAAAAGTGTTTAAGATAAAAATTTTCAAAAAAAATGAAAAAAAATGTTTTACTCAAGTGAACTGGCAGTTCAAAGTTAGTGGTTAAATGTAACAGTAACAGTACTTATATGTTAAAAATCAGATATGTTAAGTCTAAGTATCTAAATTTTGCGCATCAGTACTTATATGTACTTAAAAATTAAATAGCTGTACTTCTATCTTAAGTATCAATTTTTCTCAAATAACTTTAACATATTTCAGAGCTGTTGGCGATGTTTATACCGTCCAAATTATATTTAATCACCTTATTGCAACCCTTACATTCATACACACAGGCACACATGTTGTTTAAGCAATGGCTGGCACACCAATGCCAAATCGTATATTGCACAATCGTACTCACAAATTAACAGAAAAAACACACAAACAAACTGTGTATTTTGTTTTACAAAAATTAATTTTCAATTGCACATTTTTTAAAAGTCTCAAAAATGTTTTTTCTGAGTATATTCAGTATATTTTCTTTTAATTTTTCGTCAACCTCAAGAAACCAACTGAATGACTTCTTAAATATATTAAATTTGATTTGATGTCATTTGAAAGGTCAATCAATAATTCAAATCTAATTTAAATGTTTTATGAAAATTATTTTATAAAACTGAGGCTGCGACATTTATAATGACAGGACCTTAAAACTTTTTATTTTAACGTTTCCATGAGCATTTTGAAGGCTTCAAAGTCCTGAATAAAAGTCGGAGAAAAAACACTTTAAAGGGAAAGTAATTAAATTATTACTTCTGTTAAATATGTTTTACCATAAAACGCTAACTTGATGATCAATTGTTTCAGGTCAATCGTTTTAGTGTACCACCATAATCGTGGAATAAAAATAATTCAGACGAGACTGCAATTTGTTTGTAGAAGGTAAACACATTCAAGGTAAACACATGTTCAAAGTTTATGCTCAAGTCACGCTTTTAATTTGTCTACCTACGCATTTGTATGCATGTCTGTATCTGTATGCATGTCTGTATCTGTATGCATATCTGTATGCATGTCTGTATTTGTATGACATATGTACGAATGCTTATTAAAAGTTTGTATTTATTGTTGTGAGATAGTGAACTGTGAGACAATGAATTTTAGTCATCAAACGTAAGTCTCAAATTTGAGGCAAATAAAGATACAATTATCTGAAGCAACAACTTTTCTAATGATATCACGCAATGCGTACCTATGCGTACTTGGTGGCATTCTTATGAATGAGTCAGTGTTTTGTAGTTATACAATTCAAGAAATATTTAAAACAGTCTATGATAAGGTTGCATAACTGTTTTAACTATATAACAAATGGTTTCATTTGAGCAAATCCCAGAATAAATAAAACACGTGTTTGTTAGTCAACTATTCAATCTTCAAAAGATTTTAAATTTTTGAAACAAAGAAACTGTATCCGAGTTTACAATTGTTCAAAGTTATACCGTGACCTGTTTGCGTGATTTCTCTTTATTTTGTCTTGCTAGAAAACTTTGAACGTTTAAAAAACGAACAACTTTTTTATGTTCAATCAAATTCTACAAAATTAAAAAAAACATTTTAAAAAAATTAGAAAAAAAGTAATTAGAAAAAAACTTTAGAGGTTGCAGTCTAAAAATGTCAGCCTTTACTTGGTTCACCTGCTTGCACCCACGCCAACAAACGCAGATGAATACACTGACACTCACACACACGCATATGTACGCCATGACATTCATTGTTTAGTTTCAGAGAAACTAAATCAGAAAAATAAATTTCTATAAAGATGTTTTGCCGAAGGCATTTTAACGATGAAGCCACTCAGTTTAGAAATATTTTATATTTATGTTCTTTCTAACTGCTGACAAATTTATACATCACAATTAAAACATTTATTTATTTATTTGTGTTGAATTTCACATGATGAAAGTTAAACGTGCGATACAGAGTTAGACGAAGGAATAGCTACAAATACTCGCAGGTTTCGTAACATTATGTAGTGTGCAGAGGCAAACAGTAGTGTTAAAAATAAAAAGTTGACAAATATCATCTGAAATAGAAAAAAACTAGAAATGAAGGAACGAAAAAGAAAATGACAGAAGGTCATAGTGGACGAGAGATCTATGTGGGCAGAGTTATATATATAAGTCTATGCCTCTCTCTCTCTCTATCTCTCTCTTCGTGTTTGTGTGTGTGTGTGTTTCTATGTATGTGTTTTACATTTTAGTTCGCATGTACATGTTTGTATGCTTGTATATCTATATGTTTGTATGTTGAAATACTTTTATTTTTTATGTTTAAGTTAGATTTATATTGTACGTTCACATTTTTGTATTTGTATTTGTTTTATTCATTTGTATATTTATTTATTCCGTTTACGCTTGCATCACCGTGTTTGAACTTTGTTATTTATAACATTTTCGGTTTTTTTGTGTCGGCATGAAAAGTTTCTACAAACATTCAATTGAATCATTCTGTTTGTCTTTTGACTGTGTATTAACTTATTTTGTGCTGATGATCTTTGCGTTTTATTGACATACGCATATAAAATGTAAATAAAAATGTTTGACGTTTTTGGGTGGTTTTCCACTGTTATCATATCACTGTAGTTAAATTGTTAACTTTGTATAACTCTGCATATGTGTGCGTGTATATGTTCTTATGTACATGTATGTTGTTATGTGTTGTGCGTGCGTGTGAGTGTGGTGTGTGGGTATGTGTGTGTGTGTGTGTGTGTGTGTGTGTGTGCGTGCGTGTGTGTGTGTGGTGTGTGTGTATAAATATATGTGTAGAGAGTGATATAAGGTTAAAGGTAGCATCTTGGCAGAGCATTTCATCGAATATGATCTGCATTATTTATTACATTTTTACAGCGGATATGAATCCATAAATTGATGGTGAAATGTTTCATTTGAAGTTGAAAAAATACCTCTTAGTTTTTCTTTCCGAAAAATATGTTTTATTTTTTTAAGCAACAAGTGACTAAAATTTAAAAAGGTTGAAAATAAAGTGAAAAAACAATAATAAATTTCTTGAATTCTTACGCAAAACTACCTTCTGAATTTAAAAGCATTTAAAAAATTTTGATTTGAGAATACAAAATAAACAATGAACACTCGAAACGAAGAGAATCACTTTTTATTAAATAACCGATATCAAACTATGAATAATGAACACATATGAATCACCATCAGCACGTTGCCACGAATCACAACCAACAACAACACGCCGCCACGTCCAACAACCACACACAAACACACAAACCTTTGTATTCCTGCGCAATGTAACCAGGCATGACGACCAGACTGACGAGGAGGTCGGCGATGGCGAGCGACACGAGGATGTAGTTAGTGATGGTCCGCAACTTTCTTTCGATGATAACCGAAATGACAACCAGCAAATTGCCGATGACACCCGCAACTTCGACGATGAGGAGGAAGAAGACCTGCCAGTTGTTGTCGACGTTGTTGCTGTCTTCGGCAGACTGCGTGCTACTCTCATCTGAAATGTTGAACGAGGCGCTCGACGGCGTTGGCGGATAAAAAAAATCCGACTGAAAAGAATAATTTGCCGATGCCAATAAATAATCGTTAAGTAGTAGTTGCTGCTGTTGCTGTTGTTCTTTGAAGGTGTTGTTGTAAAAAGCGGTAATTTTGTTGATGTCTGATGGTGAGTTGAAGCTTAGCGAGGGATCATTCCAGAGTAATCCTGAATCATTAGAGAATGTTGAAGAGGGCGACAACAAGTCGTTAGATGACCACTGATTCCATAATGACGATGTCGTTGTCTTTGTTGGGCCAGACATTTATTACTTTTTATTTGATTTCTTCATTCGTTTATTATTTTCATTAATTTTCAGTTTTATTTCAGACGCAGAGTGGTGGTCTCAATCACAAATTATTATCACTCAGTCGTTTCGATTGCCGTTTTATTCAAGCCACTTGGCAGTTTTTATTGGTTTTTATTTTTTTTAATTATTTTTCTCTATCAAAATAATGTTTAATTGTGTTTACATTACAGCAGCTATAAAAATTTTTTATCAACGATAAAATAAATACAACTCATCTGCCGGATATTACTGCCAGTAAATTTTCAATTCATCAACTGTTGTGACAACCCTTTTAAAGAAACCTTATTTCAAATATTTTATTTATTTATAATTAAAATATAATTAAATAATAATTGAATTTTTTGGAAAGTTCATAATTAAATCAATTATTTAATGATGCTATTGTTATTTTAACAATAAATTAGAAGGGGAGGCAAGGATGTTTGGATTGGGTTGGAAAAATAGGCCACACATTTATTCTTCAGGATTTTTGGTCGTTGGTAACATTTCTAGTGTAGAGTCAAATCGGCACACATCGAGGTGATCAAATGCTTGAAACGTTATTACGTAATAAGAAATTTCAAAACATATTTATTCATTAATTTGAAAATATGAATATGAAATTACCGGTAACATTAAATTTGATTGAATTCGTTAAAAAATAAGTTAAATTTTACATTGAGTTTGACCGTGTTTATAGCAAAATCAATTGTGTAAAGCGGTGGTTATCTCAAAATTTTATTCAAGTAAAAATGTGTGCGTGCGTGTGTGTGTGTGTGTGTGCTTGTGCGTGTATGTGCATGATAGCGTGCCTACGACAGAGTTTTCAATCAAGCCGATAAACAATTAAAACGCAAGTACATTCGATTCAAAATAATTTGCAAGTAACTTCGTTAGTTAAGAATTTTCAACAACTTTTCAATCCTTCTGTTAATTTGACGCTGGTAGAATTTTTAACAAGTTATACCCATGAACATTTGAAAAAACGTTCATTGGTACGGGGTTCATGAAAAAAATATGCGGCTGAACATATGCATAAACGTACATTGAAATGTGAGTGTTAAGTCATTATGCATGTAAGAAGCTATTGTTGTGGAGTCAGGGGACCTCCTCTATCGCTGGCCCAATATATCGTCTGCTGCTGCAAACTTGCTGGGCTAGTAAATGATGATAGAGAAAGAGTGAATGTGCGTAGAAATGCGGCATTATCAAACAATGGGAAATGCTCAACATTTCACAAACTCATTTACTTTTCAGTGCATTTAGGACGAAATGTAAAGAAACAAACGTGCAGAGATACATATCGGTACAAACAGCAAAAACGCAAAATAAAAAAGAATAGTGCCTGTGACGTGCGAATGCATTCTCTAATTTGCTCACGATCACACGGTATTGTCGTCCTTTCTGTTGTTTGATGGTGTTGTCTATCATGTTGTCTTTCTTGCTCGTGTTGTTTTGTTGTTGTTTTTGTTGTCCGCGCTTGTTATTGTCGTCGAGGCGTGGAATAGCAAACCAGTTAAACTTTAATATCAATATTATGACACTTGACACGAATGTTTCAGTTTGTCGGGATGACAAATGATGATAGACCAACAAACAAACGGCATAGAATGACAAACTCGTGCATAATAAATACTATGTAACACGCATGTAACGAGTTTGAATTTATGTCTGTGTATGTGTGCGTGCGTGCGTGCGTGCATGTGTGCTTAAGTAATTTTGTGACTTGATAAAGTTCAATTTAATTATTTAGTTCACAGGCTGGTCGATGAAACAAAGAAAATATTTTTTTCTCATACCATTTGGATGAATAATTTTTAAAATTGTTAAATAAGTTTTCTACAATTAGATTAAATTTTAAAAGTTAATTAAATCAAGAAAATGACTTGCACAAGAACTAACAACAGAAATGCCATCCAGACTTAACTTGAAACTTAATAAACCTTATTCATTAAATTACTTATATTAAAATTTAAAAATACTAATACAACATTAATAACACATTAGTAATGAATTTAATTAAATTTTTATACATTTTAATTACACATCGAACTTTATTATCAAATTATTATTAATCTTTTTTTCAAATCAAAATCTCGTATTTAACAAATGATACTAAGAACAAACCAACAAAAAAAGTTTAGTGAAACATTAATTTATATTTTTATTCAACAAAATCTTTCAATAAACAAAAAAAAAGACAAAAAGATTTCATTGAAGATCAATTTCTGACATAACAACGCGAACTTGCAATTCGTTTTATGAACTGACAAAAACAACAACATTCTTATATGTATTCAGGTTACTGTGATGTATGCATTCATGTGCGTGTATATATGTTTTTGTGTATGTATGTATGTATAAGTATATATATACATATAAATAATATTTATTATATGTGTATAATATTATGTTTATCTATGTATATGTTTATTTATATATATATATTTCTTTATGTATATACTTTTTAAATTTTTTATTTATTTGTTTATTTATTCGTTTATTTGTATATAAATATATTTCTTAATTTATTTACTTGTTTATTCATTCGTGTGTGTGTGTGTTTGTGTGTATGTGTGTGTGTGTGTGTTTGTGTGTGTGTGTGTGTGTGTGTGTGTGTGTGTGTGTGTGTGTGTGTGTGTAGTTTTTATTGTCAACTTCATAGACGGTGCAATGCTACAGACGGGCGAGTATTCTCTGAAGCAAGAAAGCTGCGGTTATTAATTAATTAATTAGGACGTTTTAATGTTACAACAACAACAACCACGACAACAATAACGATGACAACAACATTTACGACGACAACGATATACATGCATATTATCAGTTGTGTTTATGATGAAGTTTTGATTTGAATAAGCGTAGCTGGTTGATGATGGATCGTTTTACAAAATAAGCTTATTTACACTCTTAGCCTTGTATTTGTTTATTTGCTCACTTTCCATATAGATAAATAAATAAAACTTGTACACACAGAAACATTAATATATATATATATATATATAAATTATTTTATTATTTTTATTATTAGGAGAAAACTTAATATAGCGTTTGTTATAGCAGTTTTCACAAACGCTATCAACTTATAACTAATATTAATACTAAAATAGCAAGAATGAAAAGAAATAAACTATAATAAAAAAAAAGGTATGTCTTTAATTGTCTTTTAAATTCAGCAATGTTCATTCCAGGCATTCTGAGGGCTGACTGTGACACAGATTTTAAAAACAATTCTTTTATTTATGGGCAACCAATGCAAATCACTCAGGATCGGTGTGGCATGATCTGATCATACCATCGACATCCAGCCACAATCCAGGCAGTACGGTTTTGTATCAAGTGTAGAATTTTGATGGATCTAGCCTTATTATATATATATAATATACGTGCTTAGATATATACGTGTGTGCGTGTGCGTTTGTTGGTATGTGTTTTGTGTCTGTTGAGAAAAAAAATTAAAAATGCGACCGAAAACCTCACCCTGCTGAACCTCCGTTATGCATTACCCCAGACATTACCATTGCTACCACAAAGATGCATAGCTACCGCAGCTACCACAAAGATACATAGCTGCCAAATAGACACATAGCCACTGAGCTTTTCCTTCAATCATTTGGAGCCACCGCTTCTGGTTTTCTAACTTTTCAACCTTCTGCTTGCTGCCTTTGCTTTTTTTAAATCTCTGGCCAATTTCTCAGTTTGAGGACAGCTTTCAGTATCTAGAGCAAGCATTTTTGCCAATTTTTGAACAGGACAGGCAATATGCTCATGTTTTAAGCGACAGATATATTACAAGTTGGGAGCACATCAGCTGAAGTTGGGAGCACATCAGCTGAAATTGGGAGCACATCAAATAAAGTTGGGAACACATCAGCTGAAGTTTGGAGCACATCAACTGAAGTTGGGAACCCATCAGCTAAAAATGGGAGCACATCAGCTAAAGTTAGGAACACCTAAGCAAAAATACCAGCTGGCTTTTAAAGTTAAATTAGACAGCTTCAAATTTACCTTGAACAAATCATGTGCTGCCTCACTGTTTGAATTTCAGTTGCAATACTTTCATTTTTTGTTATCCTTTCTTTCCTTTTTTATAAACTATCCATTTGCCATGAACAAGTTTTTCGGTATGATTGTTTTCATCACATGGAACACATTTGGCTTTTATTTAGCAAATAAATTGCTTTCTTTACTAACTACAGATGATACAAAATTTGAAACGGTATACTGCATGCCAACCGTGCCAGCACTTGTTAGCAAAACTTCCTTGGGCTCGTGATTACTTTGATTCTGCAATTATAAATGCGTCAAATATTTTTCCGACTTTTTCGTTTTCATTTGAAACTAACGTTGAAATATCTAAAAGTGCAATAAAAAGATCAGAACGAGAACTTAAGCTAATGAAGATCAGCAGATCCACCAACACCACCTGCCAACGCAACTGATCATAATACTCGCCTGCCACGTGGTTATTAATAATGAGATCATCAACCATCAATCATTATATCTAATCGTCATGTTTGTCCTTGTAACTAGTTAGTTAGAAGAACGAACGTTTGATGTGTGAAATACGCTAACATGCATGTAATAATAATAATCAAGCCTTAACTATAGACCCAACATTGATGAGTGAAATGCTTTGTAATTATTGTTGTTATTATCACTATTATTGTTAATGTTATATTGTTTTTGTCTTGTTATTAAAAAAGTTCAGCTTAAAATAAAATTATTAAAGCTGAAAACTAAAAATCTTTTCATTAATTTGTTTAATTCATATATATATATATATATATATATATATATATATATTATTCATAAAATTAACTCATTTATGTCTTATGTGTACAAACTGTAAACCCGAATTGCTAGAGCGCAATGTTTAAGTTTGACTCAGCCAAGGAATTGTTCTAAGAATAACTGTCAGTTAAATATTTAGAGGCGATTTCCTTAATACATTTAAAAACTGTTAAACATATCTTCAAAATAACTCTCTGATAAACCAGAAGCCAGTGAAGAGCAAAATGAATGGGTTAAAGGGATTGTATTAAGGCCACATGAAACCAATCTTGTAGTCCAATTTTGGACCGACTGCAGTCAGTCTAGCCATATTTACACCAGACAGGTTGAAATAGTCTATTTTTGAGTGGATAAAGAAATGTACAAGACATTGAAGAGTATGCTTGTTCAAAGATCGTTTGACGAGCCTAAGCTTATGCAATTTTTCAGAACATTCTTTCGAAAGTGCCCTAGTGGGAACGTTAAAAGACATATTATTATCATAAACAAATCCCAGTCAATGTCCGAATCGCCAAATCTGATAGACTCAATGTTCATATTTTCTAATTTTTGCCTATAGTTGTATGTAATTATGTATAATTATGTTTATCTATAAAAATTGTTAATCAACTCACAAGATATTTGTGAATTGTTTTATTGATAAGAAGATAGTGAATTTGCCACCAATTACTTCTCTATAAACAATAACGCACGTGAGCGAGTATGAATGTATGTGAAGAACGTGTGATGTGTCTGTATAACATGGCGTAAATTTCATTTTTTACTAATCTGCTAACAGGTTAATTAAAAAATTTATTTAAGCTGAATGAGATAACATACCTGATACCTGATCCATGATTTTTTATTGGATGAACGAAGTGCGGTTATAAAAAAAAAATACTGGTTTTGCTTTGTAAACAACCAAATAAATTTTTAAATTAAATGTACCGGCAATTTTATCGTAGTAGTGTAGTTTATAATATCTTAAAAATGTAAACATTTGTTTTAATTTAATTTATTATTTTATGAAAATTACTGGTTCGTTTGATTAAATTATTACCAGCCTCTAACAAAGTTTATTATTGTATCAATAGTTCCTCACAATCGTCCTTCACTTCATTTGTTCTTTTTTTTGAAGTCAAACAAATTGTATGTTTCAAAATCATCAATTGATTAATTATGGTTGTAAATAAGATTATTTAATCATCATAAAATCTTGACTATGTAATCAAAATTCATAGTGATGGTTGTAATCATATTCATAACAATGATTTTGATTATGTAAATTAATGTTATTTATCCTGCGGTTTCAGTAGCAAAGTGACATTCTTGTCAACAAAATGCCTTCTGAGCACTGTTTACTAACCTTCAAAAGCAATTGCGAATGTCATTATATCGCTTTTTTAATTTAAAATGTCGTGTTTAATTTGAGGAACCGTGTTAAGCTGTTTGTTTTTCTTAATGTTGGATGAAAATTAAATGAATGTAAACACGTTAATCCGTATTATTTTTTGATATTTAAAACAATGGGAAATAATTAGACGGTGAAAATTGAAAACTGACGCTATTATTTTGGGTGGAATGTAAGCATAAAATGCAAAAGAGACAAAATAATAATATTTGTTTACTAGTTCGCTAAATGGCATTCACAGATAAAAAAAACAACACCGATATCCAGTTTCGAATTTTGTCATTATTTAAATGATGAACATTCGATTTTTATTTCACGTGGGTGTGAAATTATCATAAGTTAGGCACTTATCTAACTTATTAACACTAGACATTTGCACCTTTTATTATTGTTTTGCGGAATTTAGCAAATAAGTTTTTTCAAAGATTGAGTTTCAAATAAAATATTCATGAGATTTTCAGTTTTGACCAGCATCACCATTAAGCCAAATGACCACTCAGCACGTGAAAATGAATGGATCTCCATAACAGCCTTCATTCTTAGAATTTGTTCGCATCGTAATAAAAGACGCTAAAATAGCATTGAAGCGATGAAGCGATAGGCCTTGTTTGAACGATAGTCCTATTGCCAATCCGACAGTGCACTATGAGAAGAGGTGATTGCTGGTACATTCAGTTTGAAAAATAACGCGAAGGTTTCAACTTTCAAATCGTGTGGTTTAAAGATTCAATAACCATCATGGCGGACTTTTCACGCACCTATCTAATCAGACGTTCCAACGGTACACACATTTAAGTTATTTCACACATTACTCATGTTTAATAATAAAGTACAAAAACAACTGCAAAGGACTTGCGGATTGAGAGAAGAAACCGCAGTCAGAGAAATTTGTTTCAAGTAAGTTGAGATTCATTTATGTTACATTCATGTTTGTCCGTTCTACACCTTCTATCTATCTAGACAACATAAATGCATAAATGAACAAATAAGATTGATTTGACGCGGTAAAAGCGTTGACACTTTCATTGTTAGTTGAATGAAATTTATCGTCAACAAAAGAAAATGCGTTAGTGAAATACTCTATTTGGTACCTAACTTTCAAGCAAACGAAAGTAAAGACAATTTGGAAAAATCCAGCAAGGAATCAATAATTAATCGTGGCTAAAATTTGTGATATCACAAAAGCAAATAATAAACATTTTGAAGTAAGTTTTCAATTTATTTCTTCTGAATAAATAAGAGATCAAAATGCATGCTGGTACGTTATATCCTGGTTTTATTGACTGTGGCATTCAGATCAGCAGGCAGACAATGCTGTGCACATTTTGATGCACACAGATGGCCCATAAACTTCGAGCCACGTCAGTAAGGAGACAAGCTGTACTGCTGCCTTTAGTCACTCCATCACTACACCCGCACGCTCGCTAACTCATTTATTTCTCATTTCTTCATATTATAAGATTTTTTTATTTTCATTATAACGTACAATGTTGAAAATATATTCCGTTCGCAATGTTGAATGCATATTTCATTTGCATGTGATATCTGATCCCTTTTTCCAAACACTCCTCTATTATAAATTATATTTCCTCAACTGTATCGATTAAACCATCTCTTTCATTTGTTTATATCTTTCATTCGTTCGTTCGTTCAATCAGTCCAGGCTGTTACGGCTCATGGATTGAATGATCGTATGATGGAGCGTGGAGTGAAGAAATGAAAGACTCAAATGAAATACACAGTGCACTGCGACGAAGCAATCAAATTCTTGCCGACTGGCTGACTGGCCGGCTGACTTATTTTATACCGCCACTGCCGGTTTAATTGAGTTACGCTCTCTATATTGAATTATTAAACAAACATCAAGATCTAATTAGAGACACAACAAATTCTAAATACATGGCACATGCATGGTTACGTACCTGCGTAGTTAAATTATCATCATCCTTCACCTAACTATATTGCATTGTTACATTAAAATGTTTTCTTTTGAAAATTTTTGTTATTTCTTTTATCGATTATTAATGTTTATTTTCTTATTTTTTTAAAGCCATTTTGATTTCATATTTTTCCTAATTTTTTTGAAATTTTGCGTTGTCATCCATTTTTATAATTTCAATTTCTTTCTAATCTAATGTGTTATTAATTCTTTGCATATTGTACCAGGTTGTACCATGTTTGCATGTTGTACTTCCATTTGCTAGATTTTAATTTGGCGAAGAATATAAAGCAAAAATTAATTTTACGAACAAATACCAGAATTACAAACTTTTGTATATATTTGTTGGAAATTAAAGCAAAATATGTCGTTTTGACGAAGTTATTAACGTGACAAATCTAATATCTAGCATGATAGCTTTGTATTTAATTTTTACCGGTTCTTATTTTACCCTACTCTTCAAAAAATTTTCAGGGTATGAAAGTTTAATGCAATCAACTTGAGTAAGGAGCAATTCACAGGCGATGCAAGATGAGTAATAAGAAAGATGTTGCAGCTTTGAGGTGGCAATTTTTGCAACTAGAAATTTTCGGAGTCCAACTTGAATGTAGGTAGACACATATGATCCATTTTACTTGTCGCCAATTATTTTTTTCATTTTCATGTAACATCATTCTCATTCAATTCAACTCTCCACTACCTGTTCATAACTTTTCATTTAAATGAGACTCTGATGTGTGAGGGTCATATATTTAGATGAACAGACAAATTTTTCAGCTCCAAATGGTCAAAGTAAGAAAACCTGGACTTTTGATATATTTACAGAATGCCAGATTTGGATTACACGTTTATTAGAACTGTATTAATGAGGGAAAATCTGAAAGAAAAACTTCGAAACATCTGTCAAAAATGGATGGGTGACTTTTTTTAATTCTTTATGATGCAGCTCTTTCAAACGCAGAGCTGCTTACTACATGTTATTCTAAACATGTAATTAAATGTTTGTGCCACAAAGGCACACTATCTACACCAAACGACACACATGTACATCATGTCTTCACATGCAAGCACCTCGGTCTTTGAGTTTCGGACAGACAGTATTCAAACCATGCCCTCGCGTAATAGCAGCGCGAGACATGGCACTTCTACAGACTTAGCTAACTCAGTGACCAATGACACTTACTTAATCAATCAATTGATAAAATAGTTTATAAAACGCCATTTCTGCAATGTTCAACAGCACTCCTTGATGAATTTAACAAACAGATAGGTCTTGAGATCAGCTCTGAGCTTCGTAAGTGAAAAAGAAGCAGTTAGAGGAGGTAGAGAATTCCAGAGAAAAGGTCCAAAAAAAGCAAACGCAGATTCAGCATAAAAGTGTTTAACAGAAGTTAAGAAAAAGTGAGAACGAGAAGATAATTGTAAACTGGGCCGGTTTAATTAATATATCTGGTAAGTCCTACTTAGGATATAATAAAGATCGAGACTTGAACATTAGATTAATGTGCAAATTTTAAAAAAGTTTCCATATTTTATAGGTAGCCAGTGCAAGAGACCAAGATATGGAGATAAATGGGAAAAAAGGGGCACGAGCAACCAGACGATCAGCAGAGCAAAAGGCTTAACATGAAGAATAGAGTGTAGAATCAGGAAAGACATAGTAGAGCGAATTGCAATAATCAATCCTAGACAAAACTAATGTAGGAACAAGTAAAAGAAGAGTAGAAGTTAGAAAAGGTAGAAGTTTTTTATTCCACGTAGATGAAAGTAAGAACTTTTAACAACACTATTAATCTGAAAAGAAAGATACATGCTTACAAAACTTATCAGAAATGAGAAAAATTAAGAGTTTTAGAATTAGGCAAGTTAATAGACGGAATAGTAATAGAGTGGTAAGATTTATTAAATTTGCACCCAATATTATTAAAACGTATTAATTCACTCTCAGTATAAATGACACTCCGTGACATTAAAAAATAAACTAGAACAAGATTGTTAAATTAGTGAAATTTAAAAAGATGGAGAAGGATTTAGGAAATGGACAAAAAAGGTGGACACCGTTGGTTTCTTAACATTACCTTTCAAATGTACACATTTATTTTTGATAAGTTTAGAGTGAAATTTCATTTGACTACATTGCAATCAATGATAATAAACCAGCGCTCAGTTGAAGGTTAAAGACCAATTATATGCTGCTGTTACGCGATGGCATGCGAAATTCAAAGACCATCATACGAGCTTGGTGCGGTGCTTGCGCGTATGTGCGTCGTATGGTGTGGTGGATAGTGTGGTGGAACAGCCTTTGTTGCACGAAAATTTAATTATATGCATGGACTAACATGTAAGCAGCTCTGTTTCATTATAAAGAACAAAATTTCAGAGGAATCAACAACGCACAAACAGCATATAAAAAATTGAATGCGACGCACAACAGACAATTCATGTGGTAGGTGGAGGTCTTTTGTCATATTTTAATCTGTTCACTACGTAACAGGAGAGGGCAACCTCCACCATTAGACCAATAACCGCCCAAAGTTGTTCGTTATGGATATAATATGGTTTGTATAGTATAAATATTTAGTATGTTTATTTTGTAATTGTAATCAATCACCTCTCTCTTTCTGTGGTTCCCTGTATCAATTATAATGTATGTGTGACATCATTGCTTCGCTTGTTTCCACTAGAGCGCAAAAATGGGAGAGATACGATAGGCAGATATGGCGTTTCCAGTCCAAAATTTCTTAGCATCTATACAATACATACACACTATAAGATTATTAACTCCTACCCTGCTTAAGTTTTTTTTTTGTTACATTGTTATTTTCGTACATAGTTGCTTTTGTTACATTTTCAGAAAATGAAATTTTTCCAAATTTCAATTTTCAAATTAACTTAACTTTTAAATCTCTAAAAAAGGTGCAAATCAAAGTTTACCTTTAGTTGATGGTCATGTACAAACAGTACAGTCCATAGAGATCTTTCGTTCTAATTTGTCGCCTCGTTAAGTTGATTAATTGTTTGGTGGGTGAATTGTGTCGAGTGACACGCGATTATTTTATAACGTTTAGAAGTCGCACAGCCAAGCAGAAAAGCTGAAATGGCTGGCAAACATGACGGACTGGAATTAATAAAAGAATCCTTAAATAGTTGTGATGGTCATCTGGACTATGACATTGCCCACGTATTCATCGTTCTCGGGGCTTCTGTTCGTATTATTTTATTATTTAATATTTTTTAAAAGTACTTACATTTGGATTGGTTAAAGTTAAAATATTGCAAAGGCCATAGCTAGCATTTTGATTTTGGGTCTGTTGTAAAAAAAAACAATATTTTATAAATAATCATATTTTATATATATTTATAAGTTTTATAATGAAAATGAATTAAAAAATTAAGATTTTAAAAGTATTTGTAGGTCATCATATTTGTACATTATATTTTATATCATGCAAACTACAAGAGAACTAAACAAGCTAATCAGGATTATATACAACATACATATACAACATACTCTACATAAATTACAGAAGTATTATTTTTGACTTAATCATATACTTTATAAAAAATATTCAAGTAATCTTTGTTGATATAATTATTATAAATCTTTCTTGAACTGTTGGCATTGAAGCTGGCTATACTACTATTATAATCAGTCAACAAAATACAAGTATAAAACAACAACAACAACACATGTTTAGACGACATTTTCCCCAAGATCAGGGGTTGCCGTTTGGCTACCTATGATGAAACCGAAATACCCCTTGATGCCATTCACATCTGTCACTTGCCTTAGTATCACGCAACCCCGCTTTCACTTTGTCCTTCTCCACCTGCTCTCTCCATCCCAGTCACGCAACCCCGCTTTCACTTTGTCCTTCTCCACCTGCTCTCTCCATCCCAGACCTCTTCCTATCACTCCTTCAACCTCGAACTCCAACACTCGCCTAATCCCGACCCTTTCATCCCTTCTCAACACATGTCCATACCACCACATTCTCAATCTCCTTATCAATGTCACAATGTCCTCATTCAGTCCCATCCTCGACATCAGCTCTGTACTACTCCTATCCTTCACTTTAACCCCACACATCCTCACCATAGCTCTTTCAGCCCTCTGCAGTACACTTTCCTCCTCTCTCCTCAACACCCAAGTTTCACCACCATATACCATTGCTGCTCTCACACAAGCTTTATATACCCTTCTTTTCATTTTCACTGACCATTTCTTTCCACACAATACCCCACCAAGTTCCCTAAATTTCATCCAAAATACAAGTATAAATAGTTGAGAAATAAATGATTGCCATTACAACCTACAAGTGATTCAACGGCAATTATTACAAATGTTGAGATTATATTTTAAATATTACTATGATGTTTATGATAAATTTTGTAGTCCTGGGAGTGTATTTAATTGATTGCATGACCTTAGCTTGTATATTTATGATACTGAATTTATGATCTCTAATCCTCTGCATTTCTAAAAAAAAAAACTTGATTACATTTTTTACCGATTGCACAACATTCACAGTGTCCTTACTTTATATTTCCAGTCTTCAATCATTTTAATAAATTGTAAGTGATTCCTGGAAATTTACCTAAGATACACAGTGTAAATGTAAAAATAAAATTAATTTTCATGGAGTAATAATTGAAAAGTTGTACAGTATAACAAAAAAGTTACATTTGTTGAAATTCATATTCTAACAGCAAAAGTACTTTTTTAATTAAACTTAAGAACAAAGCTTGTTGAAACTTATTATTTCTTAAAGTATAATTTCACTTTTTGTGTCCAGAAGGAGACAATAATTGATGCAATATTTGATAAAATAAAAATATTATACTTTTTAAGTAAACTTTACCTTTTAAGTAAGGTTTAAGGTTGTTTAAAATTATAGATTAAAAAAGTATTTTGTAAAAAAATGTTTTTTTTCTGTGTTATTAGCAATTAGATAAATGTAGTTTTATTTATATTAAGGGAGATTTGGCTACGAAAAAAATCTATCCAACACTTTGGTGGCTGTACAGAGATCAGTTGTTACCAAAGAAAATATTCTTTATTGGGTATGCTAGATCCAACTTGACTGTTGATGACATAAAGAAAAAAACTCACAAATATCTCAAGGTTTTCACGTGTGACCTTTTATTCTTCTTTTATTTTTTTGTTTTGTAAATTTATTAACTGATTTATTTAGGTCAGCAATGATCAAACGAAGCTGTTGGAATCCTTTTTTAACGTCAACTATTACATACAAGGTTTGCTAAGATAATTTACTGGCGTGTTTATTATTTATTTTTGTATTTTTCCAATGATGTTTAATTGTTCGGCTAATTTAAACTGAATTTACATTTATCAGACTGAAGTTTAAAAGAATTCATTCCTGAATGGACTGAACTTTCATAGTTTTCACATTTAATATCATTTTCCATAGTTTCTAATATCTGTGCTTAGAGTATAATTTTTAAAAATGTATTTTCAAATAAAATTTCAAACTGTGGGCAGTTGAATATTTTTTGGCAATTTGTCTTTTTTGTTTTACTGGAAGCACAAGGGGCATTCATATTCTTTCTCCAATTAGATAACCTCCAATATTGCCTCTTTATGCTTTAATCTGTTACCTCTTTTTTTAAAGTAGAAAATTTTGATCTCACAATGAGTATTTATTTGATTTTCAGTCATTTTAAGTACTTCTCAAAAGGACAATGTTTTCATTATAATGCCTGCTACTTCTTCTTCTGCATGTCTGTCTAACACAACAATTGCACAATTTTCATTGAAGGTAATTACGACGACAAAGACGGTTTTGAACAGTTGGATAAAAAAATAAAAGAGCTGGACATGTGTTCCCACAGAATATTTTACTTTGCCTTGCCACCGACTGTGTACAAGAGTGTCTCCTCCTTGATTCATTTGCATTGCAGAGCTGCTGGGTTAGTAGTGCCTCATCAATTGTATGGACGTGTTTGGTTTGATTGGTTGGGTTGTTGTTGCAACACTGCTGGTTCATTTTTACCATTTCTAGTTTATCAACTAATATGTTTTGTTTCATCTTGTTTCTACTTGATGTTTTGTTTGAAAATTGCTTTTTTAACGAATTACATTTTTAACCAGAATTCACAAAAATAAATTTTGTGTGACCTAATGTTAATTTTTTTCAATTTAGGGCATATAAGTGCCAAAAGTTAGTGAAGATTTTAGTACTTTTAGCAGTACTTCCCAATTTAATATTATAATGGTATCGTTGAATAATGTAATTATTTTAGAAAAATAATTTTAGTTTATTAACTCAAGTAAACTTTTTATGAATCTTCAACATAAAAATTTTGCTTGTTTTATCTAATTATTTAAATATAGTTATTTAATATTTCGCTACCTTACAAATTTTTGTATTGGGCTTTCTTATGTAAATAAGGCTTTCTTTAACAAAAATAGTGCAGTTTTATTTTTATTTTGATAACAATAGCTTCTATAACAATGCTGTTGAAATTTTAGTCCATATATATGCCTTTCATTTTGTTCACTGATATTTTTCTTAAGATAATGCCTAAACATTTTTTATGAACATATCTATAATAATTTTTGTTGACCGGTTTGTCTTTTGAATCTTGCTTGTTAAGTCAACAGTTGATATAAAAGCAAAGTTAGATGTTAGTTAGGCATGCTCTGTTCATGTACAGTTTTGTGATTCGATTATTGCATTTGTATTTGTAATTTGTATATGATCAAACTATTATCTGCCTAGGATTTAGAGTTTTATTTAACTAAGTAATTTGTAAGTCAGTTTTTGAGCCATGAAATAATGTTTTGGTACCATTATGGGACGGAAATATGCAAATAAAATTATGTTTGAAATGGTTTTTTTATGAAGTTTAAATGTTTTTATTTTGTGTAATTGCAAAACATTTAGGCTTTTGTAAATTTTGGTTTTTGGAGGAATACACCAAAAGTTACCATTTTTTTCACTAAAATGCTATTACATTAAGGTTAATTTAATACGGTGCTTCACAACCTTTTTTCAGTTGTTAAACATTTTGTCTTCTTTACAACTACCGTGCTCTCATGTTTTACAAAAAGGATTTACATCTACTTCTGCTAGAGTATTTAGACATAAGCAATGACGTCTTCCAAGTGTCATGTGGCTCACTGAAATGATTAGCTCAAAAAAAGATCACAACCTCTACCATCAAAGCATTAAAAATCCAAATAAAATTTATGATGGATGAATTGCTTGCTGTTCTAGCACTTTACATAGCATATTTTAAAAACTCAAACTAATCTCGTTTTTAGGATTTGATCATTAATTTTTATTTAATTTATATTAAATTTTATTTTATATCGTTTAAAACTCCAATTTCTAATTATTCAACAATTGAACATTAACCAACACTCAATTCAAACAGCACATTTCAATTGTTCTATCATTTCTTTTTCATCACAATAGGATTGTAATATATCTTAAGAAAAGAAAAACACATTCTTTCTAACAAACTAACATCAAGTTTTTTGAAAGATTAATCTAACTAACCAGCAGACTATTTTCTTATCTCAATTTATTTGCAATTTGTCTAAAAAATGAAATTTTTTTTTTAAACTTTAGAAGTGACAAACATTGGTACTAAAAAAAACTTCAAAGTGAGACATATTCAGGGCACTGCCTTATTTTATTTAGGCATTCTTATTGACTTTTTAGCATTTTTGGGGCTTTGAAAATTTTAGTAATTCGAGCTATGGAATGATGTTTTGGTACCATTATGGGACGAAATATGTTTAAAATAGTTTTTCATGATTTATAAAGTATGAAAGTCATTTTTGTTCAGTGAATTGAAAAACGGAAAAACTCTTTTCTTCCTACAAATAAAGGTCGGTTGTGAAGCACCAGTGGTTAATTATTTCAATTCAAGAGAAAAAGGGAAAAGATTATTTCTTTGTGTAGTGGTCTTTATTCGAATTCAGTTGAAATATTATTTTTGGTGACGGTATACTGATTGTTATCATCAATATTTTTTTATTCATTTTATTATTATTATTATTTCTAGTTTGTATTAGATTAGTATTATTATAAAAATGGAACACAGCCATTTAATTTTCATTAAATAACAAACGTTGAACCTTATTTCTAATAATTTAATTGCACCACGGCCACCAATCAAATCAACCATTTCTCATTTTAAAACACAAGACACCTGCAGACGAGGATAATTGTAGAGAAGCCATTTGGAAGAGATTTGGAATCATACAAAGATCTTTCGAAGCATCTCTCTGGCATCTTCACTGAGGAAGAAACGTACAGGATCGATCATTACTTGGGCAAGGAGATGGTTCAAAACCTCATGGTCTTAAGGTGCGCGAATTCTTCCTGCATCCATTCGTATTCACCTTGTTACTTTTTCAACAATGTGAATTTACGTGTTGTTAACTGTTTCATTCAAATATACGATGTTTTTATATTAAAATATTAATATATCAGTTTAAATACAAAGAGCCTGAAAATTTCACTAGGTTTGCCAATCGCATTTTTAGCACAGTTTGGAACCGAGACAACGTAGCCTGTGTGACAATTTCTTTCAAAGAACCTTTCGGTACTCAGGGAAGGGGAGGCTACTTTGATAACTTTGGCATTATTAGGTAATTTATTATCTCATGTACGCTACTTACTGTGCATTGGTAGAAAAAGTTCATCCAAGTCTCATTCAAATGTTGGTGTTAGAGAGAATGCATGTGGTGTGTTGGCTTATGCAGTGAGGTAGGTTTCTACAGATTGCAAATAAGATGAAGTACTTTGGCTGACCTATCAGCAACTATTTAAGATATGAAATAATATTGGATAAACAATAAAAAAAATACGAATTATATTCTCTCTTTTAATTTTTATTAACGTAATTTTTACAGGGATGTAATGCAGAATCACTTGATTCAAATTCTATCATTAGTATCTATGGAAAAACCCGTTTCATTGAAAGCTGATGACATTAGAAATGAAAAGGTTTTCTTTTTTTGGCATAATGACATGTGTCTGTGAGAAGTGAGAACAGACAAAAGTTTGCTTGTTGTTGCTGGTGCTGAACAGGCATGAACTGACAATCATATTCAAGTTGAATTTAAGAATATTTTATTCAAGACAAAACGATAAAAGTGAGATGGGCAGAGAGGGGTAGGCAGCTAAGACCATGGAAGCAAAATGAAATGGCTCTAATGGTAGGAGTGAAATTGCTGAAAGAAAAGATTGGTTTAATAAAAAAAGATATAGAAATCGCTGATTCTACAGTTAGACATTCAATTAATGGTAGAACTTTTAAGCTTGTTCGCTTACATCGCAATATTTATCGACATGTTTAAAAATTAAAAAAAATTAAAGCAGGTATATTAGGAAATTTAAAGAATCAAAAGCCCGTAAATCTATATTCTACGTTTTCAATTTAAGTTATACACAGTTAAAAAGTAATAAGCTTTAATAAATGTAGAAAAATATTAAAATAATGTTATGTATATGTTGTACATGCTAAACTTCATCTGTTACTGAATGAACATATCTAAAAACTTCTTTCGTTAGTTTGTGTACTGTACAGGAGTGTGCCAAATCAAGAATTTATTCATTTCTTTTCCAGGTAAAAGTGCTGAAATGTGTTCGAGAGTTGAAACTGGAGAATGTAGTACTTGGTCAGTATGAAGGTGATCCCGACGGCGAAGGAGAAATGAAGGAGGGATATCGGGATGATCCTACAGTTCCAAACGACTCGATAACTTCAACATTTGCATTGGCTGTCCTTTATATAAATAACGAGAGATGGGATGGGATACCTTTCATTTTGAGGTGTGGCAAAGGTTGTATATTTTGTCCACTTACCGCTTTAAAAACATGTACTAAAAAACAATCTTATCGTATCGATATTATTAATTTTTTTGAAAGCTTTAAATGAACGGAAAGCCGAAGTTCGCCTCCAATTTAGAGACGTACCGGGATCAATCTTTACAACACCGAATGTTATTCATCGCAACGAGCTCGTATTTCGAGTGCAACCTGGTGAGGCAGTCTACATGAAGTTAATGTCCAAGGAACCCGGAATGCTCTTTGATTGTCATCAGACCGAATTAGATTTTACATATGGTAGCAAATACGTCGTCAGTAAAAATTTTTTCTTTATAAAAATTATTGTTTAATCATTTTAGTGGTTGATCACTCTAATTTACAATTTAAGGTTAATTATGTTTGAAGGTTATGCTATGTAAACGGTTTTGTAATCATCGAAAACTGATTAATGATAACTAAAAATATTCAAGAAATTTAAATTAACCGAAATAATAAATTTTATTTAATAGATAACTATTATGTTTAAATTGGTAAGCCACCATAATGTTAAAATTTGTAAATAATCTTTTGCTTTGTTTCATATAACTTATTTTATGTAACAAAAAATAAAGGGCATTGATCTGCCTGATGCTTACGAGCGCCTCATTCTCGATGTTGTGTGTGGCAATCAGATTAACTTTGTTAGGTCAGACGAACTTTATGAAGCATGGAGAATATTCACTCCTGTCCTTAACGAAATTGAAAAACAAAAAATTAAACCTATACCTTACAGATTTGGCAGGTTATTCATTATTTTGGCTTATAATAATTTTTAATTTCATATAGCTAATTATTATCATTATATTTTAATTTTCATCAGTCGTGGTCCCAAAGAAGCGGACGAGTTAGCTGCTAAGAATAATTTCATATACTCCGGAACATACAAGTGGATCCCACAAAAAAATAAGCTCTAAATATTTATTATCAAACAAATGAATGCTTTCAAAATTAATTTTCACGAACCGTTAAACTTTAGTCAGTAATCACATTTTGAATTAATTTGCTTATTAATTTTTTTTTTCAATTTTGTGCAACATTAAAATCTTTATCTAAATATCAAAAACTATCATGTCAAAATTTAAATGTTATTAATTGTTTTTCGCTTTACAAGGTTTTTCAATGTAAACCTTTTTGACGATTTGTAGTTTTTCTGTGTTTGTACTGTTAACAGCAAGAATAGTTAATTTTTTTTCATTAAAAATCAACGTCTGTTGAAAAATTACTGATTTGTCTAAAAATTAAAATTGATGTTATTGTGCATTTTGCATTGCAATTCATTTTCTCGACTGCTTTATGGACAAATTAATCTATCAGATCCGCCGCATCTGTCTTCCATGATCTTTGCCATCTTTTCTAACTTTCACGTCTGTCACTTATAAATACAAGGCAGTTTTTATTGTTTAAAATGATCAGGTTTTTGTGTAAATACGGCTAAGGTTTTTTAATTTGTGGAATTAGGCAACAATCCGCACTGAAAGCATTGCATTCTTTCGATTAGATCGAAATATTTGACCGTTACTAATTTTGCTGCTACGACGTCCACTATAAAAACATTAACACGCATCATGATTTGCGTATCGTTAGCATCGAAATTTTCTATTAGGTCGGTTCTGTAGGTTTACGATCGAGATCTTGTAATGACATTTATGCCTATAACTGGGTAGCCGACAGTGCAAACCGCTAAACCGTGTTAATTCGCCAGTTTTCTATTTCTAACTGCTAAAACAACATAATAGCTTTTCAAATTGATTGAATCGGTTTGTGTACTTACTGCGCAAAAAATACATACATATGTGCGGGCTTACTGATTTAACATCTGACATGACGGAATAATTAGTTACTCAAAGGCACACGTCGATGTAACAGCAAGATCTTTTATTCTGCGATGACAAATCAATTTTACCAGACAATACTACAACTTCACGGGTGGTTTATATATTCTATTCCAAATTAAGTACATCAATAAGTAGACAAAATTAATAATGATAACAAAAATTAGTAATAATAAGATGACTATTAATTAATTAATTAATTAATATAACTGACTTTAATTTAATTATAAATATAAGTGAGGTTACTGTTGGTCCGCAGATATAATACTGAGATATATGAACCGAAATTAAGTGATCTAAATAACAATCAGCGATCTAAGGCAATTAAAGCATTTCTCCTGCCAATGACCAAGTAGTCAAATAGGTCAACAACTCAAAAAGGATTTTTAATTTAAAATGACCACATCTGTATTATTTCATTATTTAAAAAATGAAAATAAATTTGATACTCCTACATGTTTCTGAAAAAATATTGGAGGAATACCAAAATAAAATACAAATCAAATAGAGAAGACGTAGAAATGAATGACAAAAAAACGAGTCACCACAATGAAGCACAGTATTATGATTATCAAAAATTTGTTTTCGACTATTGAAACAAATTGTTTAACTTGATAAATCCGATAAAAAAGCGATACATAACTACCAATTTCAAAAGAGTGAAATTTAATTTGAATTAGAAAAAATAAATACAGAAAACAAAATATTTTTTTGTTAAATGCAAGATGGTTAACTTATAATATAAATATGTGTTTGTATGAAAAATGTATTGTGTATATATATATATATATATATAGTGATTATATATTGTATATATATATATATACATATTTATAGAAACACACACACACACACATATATATATATATATATATATATATATATATATATATATATATATACCGCAAATGCACATAGAAACCTTATTTGTCAAATACGACCATAATTTATAAAATATAATATTGTTTACTTACATCGTGTGTACTGCATGAGCAGTTGTCAAATGTTTGATAAAGTTAAAAAATCAAAACGAAAACTTTGTTGCGGTTTTTAATACTCAAGAGTTGCCAGATAAACATACGACTCATTATATTTCTAACAGTAACTTTATAATTATTATCCAATTTATTAACATTATTAAGTTGGAGGATAATTATAAAATTACTGTTAGAAATATGGAAAAGCTCACCGTAAACTTTCAAAAGCTAAAAATTCGGTAAATTTTCTCAAATGTTGCATCAATTATGGTCTTCCGGCTAATATATATAAGCTATATATATATGTGTGTGTGCGCGTGCGTGTATGTGTGTTTGAAGGATGGAAGGAGATCATATTTCATACAGTATTGTTTGAATTCTACCGAATTGTAGTCAATAGTCAATTTAAAGTTTGTCTTTTCAATTTTCTTCACTAGAACTTAATGGAAATTGTTCAATTTGTGGAAAATAAAATTATCATCCGAGTTCATCACAAAAATTTAATAAAAACTATTTTTATCCAAATTCATCATAAGACCTATTTGCATGATGAATTTGAATAACAACAACTTTATTAAATTTCCGTGAAGAATTTGGATAATAATTCTATTTTCAATAAATTAAACAATTTCCAAAAAATTCCATTTATAGTAAAGAAAATTGAAGACAAATTTTAAATTGATTAATGCCAAAAATTCGGTAGAATTTATACAATACTATATATATATATATATATATATATATATATATATATTTACAATATTCTATAAATTCTACCGAATGTTTGGCGTTAATATGTTTGTAGTTCGTTTTTTCGATTTTTCTCACTAAAGTTTTTTGGTGAACGTTTAGTTTATTAAAATTAAAGATAAACTTATTTTTCGAAGCATTAAATAAGTTTATTTAAACATTCGGTAGAATTTATAGAATATTGTAAAAATTATGGTCTATTACCAACATATATATATATATATATATATATATATATATATATATATATATATATATATATATATATATATATTATACATATATACACACACATTCCTAAAATAGTGTATGTATACCTACATACAATGAAAAGCCTGGACACAAATACTTAAACAATTGAATAGTAGTTGAAGAAATTAAATTAATACCAACCAAAATACAGATTGTTCATAAAATTTTCCGAATGAATATGAATATTTCACGTCATAAAATTTCTTTTGGAAACCTCGTAGCAGGCGAGATACGTATAAAGACGTGAACGTTTGATACATGAATGAACAGTGCTGAGTATTTAATATCGCGATCACTGATGAAAATATACGTAAACTTTGAAGTTTTTAAAAAGTTGAATCAAAAAGTAAATAAGTTGGAGAATTTATTGATTTTATTCAGTCTTTCCGAAAAAATATCTCAGCACAGTAAACCAAATATATAAAAAAACTTTACAAAAACGTTTGACTAAATGACTGTTACAAAAAACTAGTATTATTGTGCAAGGTAAACATTGCAAGCAGGTTCACAAACGTTCAGATTTTTATTAAATTATCACAATTAATTTTATAATTTACCGTGAATAGCAATGTAGCCTACTTTAAAAACGATTAAATATATTTTTTAGGAAAAATATAAATGATAAAACCCTTACGCATGTAAGACAAATTTGGAATGCCATTTCAACAATTAAAAATTATAAATAGTTTAAAATGTTGCACCCACAAGGAATTAAATATTTCAAGAATGAAAAATATTATAAAACAGAGCATGCACATTTCACACAAGCTTGCAGGTAAGAAATAAAGTAAGCTTTGTAGCCGAACGAACCCAGTAGAGACTTAGAGAGTGAAATTTGACATACGATAACAGTTCATCCATCGCATTTGGATAGAAAAATCAATTTCATCTCTAAGCTTTAAATAATTTACAAAGCATAAAAAAACTGCAGTATTAAAAATTGAGTCGAATTTTATGATAAAAACAAAATTTGGTATCTAAAACTAATTTTGAATCACAATTTTGTCACTCGATATAGACTTAACTTATTTTCAACTATGACATAAAATCAATTTATTATACGAGTTGCCTTGATTTCATTAATGCTAAAATCTAATAAAATATTTTTAAATGGATCAACTTTATTGGACGGACCAAAAAACCCTTTGGTAACTATTGTCGCAACAAGTCCAATAAGAACATAAATAGAACTATTGAACCGGAACCAATAGTCTAAAAAAAACTCATAAATGATGGTTAATGAATATTGCACAAAAATGATTGGTGATTGAAAAATATATAATTATCACGACGCCAATTGCTAACAAACACAAGATTAAACAGACAGAAAAGTGTATTTAGATTTTACATGATAAATTCTTTGATGATAATAATGACACTACAATATTATTATTGGGAACGAAATAAACAAGCAGATGAAACACCTAGTACTATTTGAACCAAATAGCCAGACTGAATGAAACGATGAATAAGAATCAGGCATAACTTATAACGAACGCACTGCATTAAGAGATCTATAAAAACATTAAATCAGATAAAGTGGGATCGTTATGTTATGATAATTCTAAACACACGAGTCTTCTAACTATAATCTGTGGTTTCCATGTATACACATAGAATCACACACACACACACACACACACGCATGCACGCACACACACATGCAGATATATATACACATATATAATGTATATATACATAAAAGCTGACTATATTTGACAACCCCAATTAGATGGTCGAACCAATAAAAACATGAAAGCATAATTTGTCAAACATTTTAATACAATCGTTGAAGTAATGAAATCAGAATTTGACATACAATTTAAATACAAAAGTTCACTAAAATTTTGTTACACAGGCAACGTCGGAAAGAACTAAATGAGATGAGAGAAAAACAACAGCAGCAACAATAAACCAACTACATGACGGGGTACTTACTAAATTTAATGATCACTATCAAAATACAAACAGACACGTGCACAAACACAGAAGACTCGCGAATTCGCGCTGAAAGTTGAATTGCTTCATGTTTCAATCCACAACACACAAAAGGAATTCATAATAATTATTTATGCTTCATTCATTCATGCATGTGTAGGTAGGTTACGTACACACCATGCATGTACTTGCATGTGAATGTAATCATCAGATGAGACCTACAGCACTAAAATCATTGAATAGCGATATAAAACGTACCAAATGGCTCTGTCACGAATATTACTTCAGCTGCATGACTTAGTTAAAATTTAATCACCTAAATGAAATGTCTTTTCATTAAAGGATAACATTTCTACAGAAAACTTCCAATGTCAACTTAGCTTACCGTCAACCTCACCTACTCTTTTTAAGAGCAGCCGCAATTTATAAGCATCGCTATCATCCACAGTGACGTTATCACCATCAGCACTTTGTAATGTAAATGAAAACATAATAACATGGCCACAATAAACATCAGAGCTTTTCATTAGTCGGTAGCCAGACACATTGCTCGCGTGAATGCTTCTCAATGACCTCTTTGACCTTCCTGTACACTTCCTCCTGCGAACCGCCCACCAAGATAGCTTCGAATTTAATATCATTGAAATTATAATGGTCGAAACACTCGAAATAAACGCCACATTCGCCGTTCAAGTGTTACATTCATATCTCTAAGTTCAGACGAGCAATGTAAAAAAAAAATCAATAAAAAAAACTGTAGGAGGAAACCTGAGAAGCAAGTAGAAAAGTCTCTCTCCATGTTGATGAGTTTGTCGAATGCCGACCTGGCCTGGTCTGCGGTCATGCGTCTGTTGAACTCACTGAGGATTCAATAAGAACCGATATTTCAAAAGACTATCACCACCATCAATTCTTCTGACTCATTGAAGCAAGAAATATAATGGTGGATTTGGAATTTCAAAAACAATCTTAAGCGTGCTACCTTTAAATTTTCTTTAATCAATACTTAATATTTCAAAACAAATTGATGGCAAATGAAATGACTTAAAAATTGAAGAATATGAAAAACTGAACAAACGTTATGGCTTCTATGGACCTTGGTTTGATAAAAATTGATATTGGTTGAATTCCAGCAAGCTGCAGACGTTTGACAGCATTGCCACTCACGTCCAACAAACAATGCTTGCCCTGTTCAAAATAAATCAGAATGTTAGATCTGTATGATGGAAAGTCTGTTGCACACACGAAATGAACTAATGAAGCGTGCTTTAATTAATTAACATGGCCATTCAATATGATTGTTCAACAATATAAAATAATAAAGATAAAAATTAATAATATTCAAAATGACAAAATAATATGACAAACAATACCGAGACCAATGAAACAACAGGTAAGACTGAATAAAATAGAATACATAGCGAAATATTTAAAAAAAATGAGCCTACCCTTTCAGCAACCTCTCGAATGGATTGGATGCTGGTTCCATAGAGATGGTTGTTGTACTCACCGGCCTCTACGAACAGGGAAGTCTTCATGTCTCTTTCCATCTGATCTCGAGATGCTACAAAAAAATAATCTCTCCCATCAACTTCGTTGTCCTTGCGAGCTCTCGTTGTATCTGCCAGGTGACGCAAAAAGTTGATACTGACCGATGTACATCATCGGAACAGAACAAACTGATGTAAAATCTCATGTAACCATAGCTTAATCATAAATTACAATCGCTGATGTGAATTTCATTTTAAAAGTTAAATTTAACAGTTGAACAAAATATAATCTTACGAGGGACACATGTTTCAAATAGTTCAGGATGTTCAGCTATCAAGGCATCGCCCAACTGGTCCTTGAACATGCCCAACAACACTACAGGTCTACTGTAATTTACTGGTTATCAAAATTAAATGGAAGTTATCAAAATGTTATTGAAGATGAATCAAATACCAAAATTTGTAAACACATAAAATTAAACAATACATTTTATCCATTATAACGAACATAGATTCAACAAAAGACATTAAGCTTATGACAATTTAATTCAATTAAGAAACTTAATCAGAATCCTTATTTTCATTTTTTAAATTTAAAAAAAATCTTACTCAGAGATTGGTACAACATGCAAAGCACAAAACATAACAATAAAAAGATTAAAATGATGATCTGATGAAATGATGCAAAGTACAGAATGAAGACGAATCAGATTATGAAAAATAAATATATATTACAGTTTATATTAAAATATATCAGACAACAAATGTCTTCTACAAAACCTTTATATGTTATAACATTATATGTTGACAGTCATTCAAAAATTTTCATAAAAACGTTTGTTAAAAATATGTGTGCATCTAATTGATGATGTACATATAAAACAAAATACTGAACAACATTGAAAGAGTTTAAAATACAAAAAAACATCTCTTTGAAAAACCAGCAGTTTAATTTGTTTTCAGGTATGCATTCTAGCAAGTAAACACATTCCATGATTTTGCATAATTAAGCAAACTGTCATTTGAAAAACGTTAGCTGATAGCATTAAACCCATCAAACAAGTATTAGCTGTGTTGTATACTGTAAACTGCATTGTCAAATTCAAAACGTGATGAGTCAAATTCAAAATGTGATGAGTCAAAAATCAAAAATCTCTGCATAATAAAGTATCTTAAAATCATGTGTGGCATTAACTGAAAAAGGCTAAAATAAACTTTGAAAAAATTTGATATTTAACAAATTTATGTTAACACCATAAAAATAAAAACATTATAAATTGAAAAAAATAAAACTTAACTCTACATCATAAACTTGTAATTTCGGCATTCTAATTAATATACATAACATGATAGATAGAAAATAATTATATTTTAGATAGATTTAAGAAGAATGGAACTAACTTTCCTGTCGTTTAACTATTTCATAAGAAGGAGTTTGTAACTCAATGGGTGTTGAAGCTATGATAAATTTTTTAAATGAATCAATGATATATGCATGTTGTATCATGTTTCACGTATGTGTATGTACGGATATACAATTGTGTATACATACACATTGGCGTGTATAATTTCCATGAAATTCAACCATTGATGAGAAAGAAAAATGTTTTAAAATTTAAAAAAATAGGAAGTAGAGTAAAAAAAATGAGAAGTTTGAAGAAAACAAGCTCACTTTAAAATCTATTAGAAAATATGTAAGATTTATAAGTTAGAACAAGGAGTTGTAATAAAGATAAAATATGTGGCACCATTTCAAATGGTGAAAATCTGCTTGCCTGAGTGTTGAGCAAATTAAAAAATGTGGACATTAGAAAAAGTATAAGAATTGAAATGAATGAAAAAGAAAGAATATTTTTAAATAAATGTGAATTAAAAAACAATTCAGCTTTTAACAAGACTAACAAACCTTTTGTCGGGTCAGCATCTAGCATGTTTTCACTTTTACTCCTTTCCCTACTTCTAGTAAAGTGAAATTTTTTACTAAAAAAGTATTTTTTCTTTTTGTCGTTGGTTAATGTCTGAAAAAAGTTGGTAAATCTAATTTTAAAATATATATCACAGAAACCATATAATAAGCAAAAACATACACCAGTACTGTCGGATTCTCGACCAAGAAATTTAACATTCTTGGCTCTTGATCTTTCTCTCCTTTCTACCCTATAGCAAAAAATGCAAAAACATTTTTTTGATTTCAATTTATATTTTTATGATGGACTTTCATACATTAAAAAACTAAACCAACATATAATAAGAACCGATTAAATGAACAAACTGAGTGAAAAAATTGAATGAACAAACAGAATAAACAAACTGAATAAACAAATTGAACAAATAAGTTGAACCAACCTCATTTTGCTTGGAATGATACCGATGCCCTGATCAACCAAATCACCAACCAACTTTTTCGCTTGCCACCATTCTTCATCACCTGCATTTAATACATGGAGCACATCTCCGTGTCGAAATGACAGTCCTTTTCCGGGTAAACTGCTGTCTTTCATTGCATCAAAATCAAAAAACGCTCTGTTCATAGACAATAAACATTCTAGTGAAAAAATTTTATTGGCAGCATTACAGAATATAAAAAAAGACACAAAAATTTAGTTGTTAAATATTTAAAGATTAAATATTATATATAATATATAAGAAAATTATTAATATAATTAATACAGCCATGAACGATATTGGAAAAGAACCTGATAAAAAATGTTCGCTTCTGGGTCGTCCTCAGTGTTCCACTTTCATAAGGTGATATTTTACTGCAAGATTCCATATCATAATTATATTTCTCTATCAAAGCACAGCAGAGATTCATAAAATATCCACCACAACCCAATATTTGCTGTTGTTGCTATGAAGATTTTCTTAAAAATGCCATGGTTTTGTAGTTTTTTTATTTAATTATTTTCAATTAAACTAAATTAAACTAAGTGCAAACTTTAAAAACTTTCCATAATGATATTCATTCTTTATTCATTTGATTTTACATTTACAACATTCTCCTATCTATCTTGTATCAATTATCAATATCATTGTAAAATTGTAAACAATCTGAAAATGTCATGGTAATGTTAGTTTATTTTAAATTAGTCTGAAGTCAACAAACATTCGTTTAACCAACGTTCCCTAACTTTGATCCTAACCCTGCACTAACCAACCCAAAGTTTTTCAAACTTAAATTTACTTTCTATTTCATAAAAATCTAATTTACAATACTTTTTATTTTTCTGAAATAGCTTAAAACTGAACATTAGTTAAGTTAAACAAATGTTTGCTAGCTTTAAATTTTAAATAAGATACAATACAGTTAATTACAATTTCAATATGATTAAATCATTAAAATTTGAAAATAAAATAAAAAAAGCACAAAAAATTTTAAAAACAAAACAAACCAGAGCCACTACTTATGTTTTTATTTTTTAACTAAGTAAACTTAACAAAATTGAGTTAAATGAAAAATTTAGTGGCAACGAGTTAGTTAGTTAGTAGGGAATATTTAATGAGAAACTTTGCAGCCGGTACCAACTCAATCAATTAATCAGCAATATAAAAAGCGCCGTGCATACTGAAGCAACAAATTAAATGACAAAAACAAGAACCACTGCCGTTCAATGCACATTCAGCCATACGAAGTACAGCTAACTATGGAAAAATAATTTTTTTGGATGAGAATTATGGTCTCTGAATTACATATAGGAAGCAATTACATCATTACACTGTAGTTTTATAATTTAAACGATCACTCACTGAAAAACTGGAATCCATCAGCATCAATTATAACTATGAATATATATATATATATATCCACGATTATAACGGATGGGTGACGTCATTGCTTTTCTTTCTTCCAGCAGAGCTTATAAAGAAAGATATGATAGCGCAATTCCAGTTTTAAATTCCATGATTATGGCTTTATGAAGTTGATGTTTCGGTACGTATTGTAACAATTAAGTGAATGAATTGTTACAATAACATTGACATTAAAAACGTTAACATTAGTAGAAAAATCGTCATCCATTTTCTATAATATCGATTCCATGTTTTATATTTTGTTTGATATACACTTCTTTTTGGCATTAATCGTTTTATATTATATATATTAACCCAATCAGGAAACAATAAACAGCCACCTACATAATTGCAGCGGCATAAATGACCAACTTCCTCTTGATCTCATGCGAATGCGAATCAAGTAAAGGATCACTAATTAGGGCCAGAGAGCCGATAAAACGGTGCAGTGAAATGAAGCGTTTGGTATGAGCGTTACCTGGAAAAAGTTGCGTCATTACAGTGTATTTTTAAGATGTAAATAATCACCGCAGGAATCTCCATGCATCATTTCTAATATTTCTGTTTCCAGTACAGTTTATAAAACGATGGGGAAATTTCAGTTTAAAATTACACGATTGTTCTTTTTAAGCAAATTGCTGTAGATGTAGCAGGTCCACTTCCAGTAATTAAGAAAGGAAACAATGATATTAATAGTGGCGTAATTACAACAGGTTAATAATGTACGTCTAATTTAATATGCAAATAACTTATTTACCAATAATATGCATTCAAAAACGAGCCCTTAATAAGGTGCAAAACTCACTCATCTAAAATTACCTTTAAAGAATACAAAAATAATTTTTTCAACTTTCAAAAGCAAACGATTGATGAAACATTCAAAAAAAATAAACTTCTAGTTCTTTTAGTTAATTTTGTTATGGAAAAAAGTCTACACTTGATAGAGTTACCCCAAACAAAGCAGTCACTCAAAATGCTAAGACCGAGATGTAACATTAAACAACATTTGTTCTGGTCCTAATATGATTTCTGCTTTTAGTTTTGAATAGTACTTGTTATGAAAATAGAAACAAACATACTTTTTGTCAATTTCGTTAGCTAGTAAGTCGTTTAAAATGAGGGTTACATGATCAAATTTTCTCCCCCTGCCACAATCATGATGGTTTGATTTTGAATTGACTGCAATTTGCGAACCAATTTTGCTCTCGCATTGCTATAACGCAATGGCACGGTATGAAAACAGTCTGTCCAAAAGTCAAAGAACATCAAACGCGTATGATACGATGCCTGTATGTGGATCAAAATCAAACCGTGGTTTTGATAATGTGTATGAGCGTCGTATGGTGTGGATAGTGTACAGCTTTTGTTGATGATATGT